CAGCTTGTGTAGTGGCCGGGGGCCTGACCACGTAGACGCCCAAAGATCGGGTGATCGCGTCCTTCCATTTAGTGAGCTCCGCCGAGCGGAAGCCGTATTCCACACGAGGGTCTAGGACCAAACGTGGATACGTGCTCATGGCCTTCCTGCGGGCAGCATCTAACTGCTGCCTCTGTGCCTCGTCGTGGTAATCGGGAAAAATACCACTTCCTTAGGAAGTCGAGAGGTTAGGAAACAGACACGGTGTCCGCAACTGAATAGGGCTCACGTCGCGCAGCTGGCCATCCTCGCCCTCCACTTCTTCCCATTCTGGGAAAGGAGTATTTGACTTGTGTCCGAATCTTCGAGGAGGAAATCCGTCGCCCGTGGCGGGTGCGATGTGTGGCGCCTGGTTGCCGATGGTTTGGATGTGCTTCCCGTGAAGCCGCAGACGTGTCTGGAGTTGCACCGCGTGCAGATGACGAAAAAGGGCTTTGCCCGCGAGAACCAGCGAGGCTGGGTGATTTGCGTGCCATAGACACAGGGCTCATTGAGTAGAGAATGCGTTAAGACGGTCCTAGGGACATAAAGTTGTCTTGGACACGCGATTCTTGTACGAGGCGACAGGGTATTCACAATTTTGATGGGGGTCTTAATTAGGAACACGTGGGGTTTTAGATACTGGCGGCTCTGCCGCAATTAAACCGATAAAATTCAATTTTGATTTTGAACAAAAGTGTTCGTTTGCCTTGGTCAAGATTTTTGTACTTCGAGCTAGCAAAGACTAGGTAGTTCTTCTCAGCAGCCTTAACGTGGTGAGATTCGAATGCAATCACCCGATCTCGCCCCTCTGCGTCTGCTTTCAGCAATGCACAGCCGATTGCAATGTCCGAAGTGTCACAGACGACACAAGTAGGACGATCGGGGTCTGGCAACGCCAGTATTGATGTATAAAGGAGGCTGTCTTTGACCCTGTCAGAGGCCTCCCGATGCTCGTGTCCCAACACCGTTCCGCATCCCTCTCAAGGAAGCTCGACAATGGCCGTGCCATTTTTCATTTCCGCGTAGTCTGCGCTATACTTGTGCAAGTAGTTGGCGAGGCCAAGCCACTTGTGCAAGTTCTAGTGGCACTTTGAAACAAAATCTTCTGCGCCGAAGATGCACTTATCGGCATTAGCATACATCTTATTCGTGCGCATGCAATCGAGCACCGCTCTCAAATGAACGACGTGGTCCTTCTCATCTGTCCTCCTGTTCCCCGAACGACTGTGGACGAATATGTCGTCGAAGTATGTTTGTGCACACGCCTGGCGGGGCTTGA